TGGGGATACCAGAAGCTGAGATGCCATCCTTAATAACTAGTGAGTGTGAAGGCATGTAATTAGGAGGCTACTTCTGGGATAATAACTCCTGCTGTCTGCCTCCCAGTCTCCAGTGTCAGGGTCCAAAAAGTCTCCTCCATTGTAGTAGACATTTTTTCCCTACAAGCAGATACAGGTGCTATTGTCAGTTTGTACACCATCAAAGGTATTTCTTACTCTAATTTTCCTGAATGAAAATGTTTTAAAAGGCTGTGCTTCTCCCTAGAGGCTTTTGGAGGGTATATCCATTGCAGAATAGCTGCAGTCCATTTCTGTTAGATAGATAGTATTGTCAGGAAGAGTCAAAATCACCACTTCCATAAGTTTCATTGCAGTTCTATCCCTCCATGGTAGTATAGTATGAGCTTTGCCACACTAGTGACACAGCAGGTAACCACTGCATCAGGAAATTGACTGATTCAACAGGCTACACTGTTCCTGGCTTTCCCAGTAGATCCAGCAAAATAAAGTATGAACTATCATGTTGAAATGCTACAAGGAGCAATGCTAGGATAATTTGTCACTCAAAGATTCAGGTGATAGCCCATTCTATTTTTTCTCCACTCATCACTCGTTTTTGTTTCGTATTTCCTGCATCTGCAGTTCTTTTGGTTTTTTTGTTTAATCTGGCTTGTGTTAATTAGAATCACAACGAAGAAGGGTTTGCTGCCTCAGGAAGCTGAGTAGATTGATGTTGAAGACTAAGGTGTGGAAGGAAAGCATCTTGGCCTCTGAGTAAGAGGATATTGGACATGAAGGGGATGATGTGGGAGGGGCAACTGGCAGCCAGAGAAACATGATAATAATTGTCATTACTAAGTAAAGTCATTTGAGCCCTGTCTGTTCACCTGACCCCACTGTCCTTCTTGCTTTCAAAAATTAAGTATAGGTTTACCTCAACAACATGCAAGTATATAGTGCTTGCAACATAAGCATTCCAAAGTTCTTCATGAAATGTAAGAAATAGAATGTGGAGCATCATAATGTGACATAGCAAGGGGTGTCAAGATCTTTGGTCAGAAATGAGTTTTGAGAAAGTTGTTCAAGGAGGAGAGGGAAATTTAAAGGCAGAAACTTTCACAAAGGTGATTCCAGAATAAGAGGCTAAACAAGGTGAGACATTAAAACCGAGGTTATGTTTGTTCTCTCAGGTAGCTGTGATGGATTCCAGGCCACTATATGGAGAACGGGGAAATTCTCTCTATCGTCAATAATTGTCCTTTGACCAATACCATTATCCCATTGTTATCCTTTAGGACCTTGTCTTATGCAAATTGGCTTTTGGGTCTTCTACATTACAATATTAACTCCACTTCAAAAGTATATTGTTAGTTGAAAAGTGTTGGCAATATGCTGAAGTTGTGAAGGGTGCTATATAAATGCAAGTTCTGTTTTTCAACTTCTCCTTGTCCATTCTCCCAATATTGTAAGTGAATATCTAGATAAGCAGAAAATATACCTGCAGTGATACTTAACTTTGGCAACCTCCAACACATTCTTTTCTATGTCTTAATTCCTTTCCTCATAACATCAAAGTAAATAAATTATCCAAGACAAATCCCTAATTTGGGAGTAAACAGTACCTTGAGTAAAATTAAGTAAAAGTGGTAATTAAAGAAATGACTTAATTCCCACTGAATTAAAAATATGAAAGAAATCCCCCCCTCCCTCCTTCAGATGCAGCACACAAAAATATCATTCTGAGGTGGTCTCTGCCTCAGGAATATACTGGAGCGGCCAAAGATTATTTGGGATGCATTTGAAGGGGAGATAGAGGGTGATAGAGTGGAGGGAATGTAACAAAATCTTAAAAGGAATTGGCTGTTCATTGGATTACCAATGCAGTTGCAAGCTATCTGTTGCAGTTTTCAGGCTGTAGTCATTCTTTTTAAAAAATCCTGTTTTGTTTCATCAAAACACAGTAATTCAGAGAATAATTCAAAACATGTTAATTTCCTGTTAAGTGCATGCACCCTTGACGGTAGGTTTCTCCTAGTACAGTTTTCCTTTAAATAATGTTCCTCTAAACACAAACAGAGGTTTCTATGATGAAGTGTCATTGAGAGTTCAGTTGACATTTATTTAGAAATTGCATTTGTGTTTGGACATTGCCTTTGTATAAGTGAGTTTCTCTGGCATACAGTTGTTTTATTCTCAAAAGTACAAATATTTCAGAGGTGATTGCAGGCTTTAGTAGTGATAATGGATGCAAATTGCCAACAGTGCTTTGATTTACCATGGCCATCTTTGAGAAGCCATTAGGCATCTTATGTTATTGTCTGGTAGTTGTTCAGGTGATCAAAGTTGAATTAGAAGCTTCTGCTGCTGCAACCCTTTTATACAGATGTTCCTGTCCTGAATGTTGAACAGTCCTGACCTAATCCAGCAAAATAAGAGTTATAGAGTTATACACAATGGAAACAAACTCTTTGGTGCAACTTGTTAGCGCCAACCAGATACCTTAACCTGATCTAGTCCCATTTGCCCCATGTCCCCCGAAACCCTTCCCATTCATGTACCCATCCAGATGCCTTTTAAATGTTGTAATTGTACCCACCTCCACTACTTCCCCTGGCAGCTCATTCCATACTTGCACCACCCTCTGCATGAAAAACTTGCCGCTTAGTTCCTTTTTATATCTTTTCCCTCTCACATTCAACCTATGCCTAGTTTTGGATTCCCCTACCCTGAGAAAAAGACCTTGCCTATTCACCCTATCTATGCCCCTCATGATTTTATAAACCTCTATAAGGTCATCCCTCAGCTTTTGGTGTTCCAGGGAAAATAGCCCCAGCCTATCAGCCTCTTCCTATAGCTCAACACCATGCCCCCCCACCTCCAATCCCAGCAACGTCTTTGTAAATCTTTTTAATTTTAACAACATCTTTCCCATAGCAGGGAAACCGGAATCAAATGCAATATTTTAAAAGTAGCCCAACCAATGTCCTGTACAGCTGCAACATGACATCCCAACTCCTATATTCAATGGACTGACCAATAAAGGCAAGTGTACCAAACACCACCTTCACTATCCTTTCTACCTGTGACTCCACTTTCAAAGAATTATGAACCTGCCCTCAAGGTCTCTTTGTTTGGCAACACTCCCCAGGGCCCAAAGTGTATAAGTCCTACCCTGATTTGCCTTACCAAAATGCAACATCTCACATTTATCTACATTTAAACTCCATCTGCCACTCCTTAGCCCATCTGATCAAGGTCCTGTTATACTCTGAGATACATCACCAATTTTAGTGTCATTTGCAAACTTACTAACTATACTTCTTATGTTCACATCCAAATGATTTATACAAATGACAAAAAGCAGTGGACCTAGCACCAATCCTTGTGACGCACCGCTGGTCACAGGCCTCCAGTCTCAAAAATAACCTTCCATCACCACCCTCTGTCTCCTACCTTCAAGCCAATTTTGTATCTAAATGGTCAGCTCCCCCTGGATTCCATGTGATCTAACCTTGCTAACCAGCCTACTGTGTGGACCCTTGTTTAACACCTTGCTAAAGTCCATATAGACAACATCCACTACTCTGCCTTCATGAGTCTTTGTCACTTATTCAACTAATTCAATCAAGTTAGTGAAACATGATTTCCCACTCTCAAAGCCATGTTGACAATCCCTAATTAGTCCCTGCTTTTCCAAATATATGTAGATCCTGTCCCTCAGAATCCCCGCCAACAACTTGCACAAAACAGATGTCAGCCTCACTGGTCTGTAGTTCCCTGGCTTTTCCTTACCACTTTGCTTAAATAATAGCGCCACATTAGCCACCCTCTTCCGGCACCTCACCCGTGGCTATCAATGATAGAAATATTTCAGCAAGACCCCGGCAGTCACTTCCCTAGCTTCCAAAAAAGTTCTGGGATATGCCTGATGAGGTCCCAGAATTTATCCACCTTAACACATTTTAAGACGTACAGCACCTCCTCCTCTGTAATATGAACACTTTTCAAGATCTCACTGTTTATTTCTCCAAATTCTCTAGCTTCCATATCCTTCTCCACAGTAAATACAGACTCAAAGTACTTGTTTAATATCTCCTGTAGTTCCACGCATAGATGGCCTTGCTAATCTTTAAGAGGACCTATTCTCTCCTTTAGTTACTCTTTGGTCCTAATGTATTTATAGAATCTCTTTCGGATTCTCCTTAACTATATTTGCCAAAGCTATCTCATGTCCCCTTTTTGCCCTTCTGATTTCTCTCTTGAGTATACTCCTACAGCCGTTATACTCCTCTCGGGATTCACTCGACCCCAGCTGTCTATCCCTGATATAAGCCTCCTTCTTTTTCTTGATCAGACACTGAATTTCTCTCGTCATCCAGCATTTGCTACATCTACCAGCCTTGCCCTTTACATTAACAGGAACATACTGCCTCTGGACTCTCACTATCTTATTTTTAAAGGCCTTTCACTTTCCAACCACTCTTTTACCCGCGAGTAGCCTGTCCCAATCAATGTTTGAAAGTTCTTGCCTAACACCATCAAAATTGGCCTTACTCTAGTTTAGAACCTTAACTTTTAGATTAGGTCTATCCTTTTCCATAACTAATAGAAATTAATAATAGAAATAAAACTAATAGAATTATAATCACTGCCCCAAAGCGCTCCCCCACTTCAGTCACTTACCCTGAATTATTTCCCAAGAGAAGGTCAAGTTTTGTGCCTTCTCTAACAGATTCATCGACATGCTGAATAAGGAAATTTTCTTGTACACACTTAACGAATTCCTCTCTATCCAAGCCCTTAACACTATGATAGTCCCAGTCTATGTTTGGAAAGTTAAAATCTCCTACTATTACATCACTTTCATTATTCCAGATATCTGAGATCTAACATTGGAGTTATTTTGTTCTGATTTTATTCTGAAAAGAATTGCAACTATTATTGTAGAGATTACACCAGTCAGTCTATTAAAATTATTTTTATGCTTTCCTTTCTTTAAGAGACAAGGCTTTGAAATGGCATGAACTATGGCTCAGCTGTACTACAAAAGAAGTGACAATGCACCGTACAGAGACCGAATTTCTCTCCGAATTGTGAGAGCAGAATCTGAACTGTGTCCTGCAGAAAAGGCTTACCTGAATGCTGTTGAGAAAGGTGATTATGCAAGTGTCAAACAAGCTCTTGAAGAAGCTGAGATTTATTTTAAAATCAACATCAACTGTATTGACCCTCTGGGACGAACTGCACTTCTCATAGGCATTGAGAATGAGAACTTGGAAATTATTGAACTTCTGCTGAGTTTCAATGTGTATGTAGGAGATGCTCTTCTCCATGCCATCAGGAAGGAGGTTGTTGGAGCTGTTGAACTACTATTAAATCATAAGAAACCCAGTGGAGAAAAGCAAGTAAGTTGTCTACAAATTAATAATTACAGCATGTATGGTATATCTTAATTGAATGTTACAGGCCAACCTTTATCCAACAGCATATTGTTTTTAATCTAGAGGTTCCTCATTATAAAGTGCAGTTAAGATGTTCAGAATTTTGAAAATTCTAGAAAATGCATTGCCTAAATTATTCTGCTGCCTTAATATTGTACAAAAGAATGGCTTGAATAGATAGTAGAGTATGTTTGAGATCTGACCCATTACACAGATAAATGCAGCAATAAATCAAGCAAAGGAGTCAATAAGTCTTTTGGTAACTACACTCAATGTATAATTTGATTGACATTCATGGTCCAATAAATAAAGAATCAATTACTTTATGATTAATTATTTTAGTAGGTTATTATTTTGGACCTGAGTTAAAGTTCGAATTCATTTAGGCCTGTATACGTATAGCTGCAGTGTATTTAAAGAATATAAAAATAGAAAGAGCAGACATGGAAGAAATTTGGGTAGAATTAGTTTTCAGTAACCGAGGTAAGCAATTATATACATTTGGCCATGAAGAACGGCTTTCTCATTATCTGTCCAAAATAAAACTGCTAAATGTCTTCAGACTGCTTGTTTTGCGCATTTAGGATCTTAGGAAGATAGAAATTGCTCAATAAAATTAAAGCTCCATCGACATTGCCATCTACTTCCTGGGTAGTCTTATGATATTGACAATAATGGAGTTATTGAATAATTACGGCAGACAATCTCTAGTAATTAGTCTACGACAGACATATTGATGAGGTGAGGAAAACCTCCAATTCTGGAATGTTTTGGGAACCCAAAAGTCAAAATCATCTGTTCCATCTTTCTCCTCCAAGCATACCAGACTTGACATGTGACACAGTAACTACTCATGTACTGTACCACAAAATATAATTTTCAGAATTAAATCTACATGCATTTGAATGAATCAATACAATATCGCCTCCTAATGGAGTTTCCTCCATTGGTTTATTGCTTTCTCTGTCTTAATGGTCCAGGATTGCTGTAGCAGAAATCTCATGAAGAGTGCCATGAATTAGACTTGTTTCCCCCTCACTTTTTAGTTCTATTTCATGTTGTGCTGCAGATTGTTTGAAGTGTGATCAATGATGTATCTGGGACAGTGTTAGTTTATGACATTAATATTTTATTCTCTTAACCAATTAAATATAAGAATAGAGAATGAATGATGGAGATGGTAATAGAATGGATTGAAGTAAGAATAAATATGGCAGGAAGGTACAGAGAAAGAAAAACAATTGAATTGAGACAATAAAGATACAGAAAGAAATACATTGAAAAGAAACCTTTAGAAACTTGCTGGAGTGACACTCTATGGTTTCAGTTGTTCCCTTTCGTGACCTCTGAGGTTGAGTGGCATTTCAATGGAATAGATTTTGTCTCAAAAGGATTCTTATATCAGAAAATGGAACTCCTGTCTTTCTGTGGTGACTATATTTCTCTGCAATTATGGTGCAAATCAACAATTTCTTGAAACTCAGGAAGTTGAGAATGAGCAGCGTTTTTGTGGCTTACATCTCATGCCTTATCATATCTTAGCCAAGTTTTGGATTTTTTGAACATTATTAATGGCATGAACCTTTTTAACTTGCCATTATTTTGCTAGCCAATTCTGGACCATTGTCTCTGCAGATTTGTTTTGAACTTACTACCCTTCAGGCTAGGTCCTCTGGTTTTAAGGCTCTGGACAAGTTGAAATAGCTTGTCATTGCAGATTTTATCTATTTCCTATAGAAACTTTAAACAGCTGTCAAATCACTTCTGAGTCATTTATTTCCCAGTGAGAATTTATCCTATATACATATGACTGACCACTCTCTTTCATCCAACTCCTCCACCCACGGAACCATTCTGTTTGCTATGTTCTATAACTAAAGTTTTTCTTTTGGCACTGCAGCATCCAGAACTTTAACTTTGACCCAAATCCCCCTTAGGCCTTTTAGTGGTCATCATGTCCTCTGGCAGTTTCCCACAATCTTCACACCTCTTTCACTAATCTCTATGGTCATCATCCTGAATCTCTCTAGCCCCTCATTGATGTACCCCAAACTCTCCAAGCCCCCCACATTGATGTGACACTCCCTCTCCCACCACCCAATCTTTGCTCCCCCGCATAATTGGCATCCTCGATAATCTGTTCAGCCCCGTGTTGATGTCTCCTAGAAATTCCTGATCTCCACCTTTGGCTGTGGCTCCATGTTACAGGTATGGCTGCTAAAAATACATGCAACTAGGAAATAGATTTCCAAAATGGTAATGAGTTACTGCCATTAAATTTAGCAAGATCTGAGTCGAACCCTTTTCCTTTGAGCATGGTTCTTCTGCTTTATGTCCTAATTTTCACTTGTCCGATAAGGTTGGTGCAAACATTTCGGGATGCTGATACTTCTCTGATGAGAGATCTCTAGTTGAAAACGTTAGCTATTTTCTCCCAGATACCGCCCAGTCTGCTGAGTATTTCCAGCATATTTTGATTTGTTTCTAAAAGACTGAGACACTTTTTTTTTCCTGGAATGGACAGAATGAAAATAAAATCTGACCAAGATCTGTAAAGTTATCAAAGTTTTTGGTAAGGTGAATAGGAAATAAAACTGGTCAGTGTGCTGTGATCTAGAAGGCATGAGATTGCCACAAAGAGGAGGAAGGAAAAGGTAGGGACTTTTTTTTTTTTGAAGTGGATTAGCTACAATATGGAAATATTATCAGAAACAGAATCTATTGTAGGGAAAATGAATCAATGCTTAATAAAAATTTATAGCATGTTAGGTGGTAAGGGAATAGGAATAGAAATAAGTTCATAGCTCATTTATAGTATCGAGGCATGCACAATGGACCAGATGGTGAGCTATTGTAGCATAAGCTGCTATGTTGGAGATTATAATTCAAGTCATAAAAGGCTCTAGATTGAATTCTTTATGGGAATTTATAGCTGTCAGGGATTATAACCAGTTTAGTTTAATTGCCTCATTCAGAGGATAACCAAATGGTCTCACTGGGTCTCCCACTTGAAGTGGCTGATGACTTGCATGAACAGAATGTCTTTTCATCTGTGAGACAATTAATTATATTGAAAGAATGTGTAGGTAAGTGGCACCAGGTGAAATGGAGAGGAAACATCCATGCAGTCATCTACAATATGTGAGAGAAGATTTACTGAACATCCAGATATTAAATTTAGTCAATCAGAGGTGAAATCAGGAGGTGCTTTTTCACAGAAAGGCCGGTGGAATTTTCTCCCTAAAAGTTCTGAATGCTCAGTCAACTGAGTGCATGTAAATGGAATTAAGATACAGATCAACCATGATCTCATTGTATGATGGAACATTGTGATCTGTAATTTTCACTGGTTTGGTTACCATGTAAATTTCTGCTAAAATTCATCAGTAAAGTCACTGTTTTAAAATCCTGCATGAACCATGTAATCAGATCAAGCAGTATAACATAACAGTTTGATAGTTTCTTTCATTACCTTGATGTATTTAAGGAAGGTAATCTGTGCAGTTAGTAATGTCACTGAAAATGTGTTTATCACAATAACTAAGCATTTCCAATAAGGCTGTCCAGTTCTCCTCCAGAGTGACTCAACTTGAAATAATTAAAATTCTTTGATAAAACTGTCTTGAAACATCTATAATTTCACATAATTTTGTTCGTCATTTTCTAAGAAAATGAACAAATCTTTGTTAAGGGAAAACTCTTTTAAAAAAAAATCCAAACCAATTACTGGGGGATTAACTTTGAGCTAGTATGAAAGTTTGAAGAATTCACAATTATTGGCTCAGATCTTCTAGTTAGTTCTAAAGAGAATGTATCCAATGCTGACTGCCATTTAATCAACCCACTTACCATTTTACATGGAGTTTTCTGATGTCAGTGCAGCAGGAGTGTAGGGATAGACACCATCAGGAGGCAAATGGATATAATTACCGTGTAGCTATGACCCTTTTTCTTGTCGTGAAGTAAACCTGCATCCCTTCATGTCTATCTTTAGCTGTTTGACTTGCATTGTTCTAAATGAAGCTGTTACCCTCTGAATCTGCATAGTCTCACCCACTGATCAATGCTAACACACTCCCTTCATCATGGGCAGTGTTCACGCCCAATCCTCACCCTAACGATGTTGTTGCTACCTTGTGCTTTCCCCCAAAGTCAAAAATGCTCAACCCATCCCGCTGACACCACCCAGTGGAGTAGAGAGAATGCGCACAGGGAAGGGTGTGAACATCGTTGCGAGGAGGACGTAGGTAGGAGTACAGAATGTTGCTATGGGTTCTGGAGTGCTTTTACACTGTTCCTGAGCTGGCACATCCAGGGAAAACAGCCCAGATCTGCATGGTTCCATCTCACCCCACAACACAGAGCAGCCTAGGCAAGATAAAACTAGGAGTTGGAAGTTTAAAATTCCTGCATAAATACAATGGATATGCATACTTTGGGACTTTATTAGGAACCCAAAATGCATCAATGATGTGATTTATGTTGAAAGCCTCTCCCCATATTGGAAGATCTGGGCCAGTATATGTGGTTTTTGGGAGAATCTACCTGAAATTTAAAAATCCACAACAGTTGGCATTGGTTCAGCCAATTTCTGCTCCAGTTGCACTGATACAATGAGAGAAAAACTGATCCAAGAATGTTCTGTTCACAATGATGCATTTCCTGTTTTGTTCCACAGGTTCCACCAATACTACTGGATAAACAATTTTCAGAATTTACGCCAGATATTACACCTATAATTCTTGCAGCACACACCAACAATTATGAGATCATAAAGCTTCTTGTGCAGAGGGGAGTCTCTATACCACAGCCTCATGAAGTTCGTTGCAACTGTGTTGAGTGTGTTTCCAGTTCAGATGTTGACAGTCTACGTCATTCTCGATCAAGATTGAACATATACAAAGCCTTAGCAAGTCCATCTTTAATTGCTTTGTCAAGTGAAGACCCCTTTCTTACTGCATTTCATTTGGGCTGGGAGCTTCAGGAACTAAGTAAAGTGGAAAATGAATTTAAATCGGAATATGAGGAATTATCACATCAGTGTGAAACGTTTGCAAAAGATTTATTGGACCAGACAAGGAGCTCTCGGGAATTAGAAATAATACTTAATTATAGGGATGATAACAGCATTCTGGAAGTGCAGACTGCTAATGATCTTTCCAGGTTAAAGTTGGCAATTAAGTATCATCAGAAAGAGGTAAGAATATTGGAAAGCAATCAGTTATTATTTAACTTGTGTGGCCTGACCACAAGACTGCATGCTAGAAATAAGTCTTTAGATGGGTCGGCAACTTTCAAGATTTAATGAAATGTGAATTCATGTAGAAGTAAATTGCAGATGCTCGTCTTATTTTCTTCCACCTTCATACTTAATGCCTAATAAATTTGTATTGTTACGAGAGAAGTGAAAGTTAAAGACAAAAGTACAGTAATTTTATTTCCTTGCAGTAATTAATATTAAAGTATCAAAGTAACCACAATACAAAAATAGAAATTTTCACCAAGACTATATAAATTGGATGGTTGTAAGCCGTTGTGGGTTTGAATAATTATAATTAAAATCTTGGATACATTGTCTCTCTGGACGTAGATCAGTAATAGGATGCAGAGGAGAAAGGAACATTTGGTCCATTGAACTGTCATCATTCATTAGTTACTGCTCCCACAGCACTTCATGATTATTATGGATGTCAATCACTATTTCTAAAAACAGAATTCTAACTGTCAGCATGCTTTTGAACTACATCTAAGCCTGTAGATCTGAAGTTTCCTCCCAGGGTCTCATAATCATCTGCCCAACTCAGCCAGGGAATTTTTTTATTTGATTGTTGGATGTATGTGTTGCTGGCTGGGCCAGCATTAATTGGCCATTCTTAGTTGCCTTCTTGAACCACTGCAGTCTATCTAGTGCAAATAAACGCACAGTGCCATTAGGGATGGAATTCCAGGATCTTGACCTACACTGAAGGAATGTTGATATATTTTCCAGTCAGGATGGTGGGTGGCTTGGAGGGGAACTTGCAGGTGGTGGTGTTCCCATGTATCTGTTGTCCTTCAGCTGGCAGTGGTCATGGGTTTGGACATCCTGTCTCGGTGAATTACTGCAGTGCAACTTACAGATGGTACACACTGCCACTACAGAGATTTGATGGAGCGGGTGGATCTTTATGGACGTGATGCCAGTCAAATGGCCTGCTTTTCCCTGGGTGGTGTCAAGCTTCTTAAATGTTTCTGGAGCGGCAATCATCCAGCAAAGCAGGGACCAGACCACACTGCTGACCTGTGTGTTGTCAATGATGTCAATACCTCTTTGGTGGTGGGGTCGGATTGAAGGTGGCGAATCTCTTACTCTGAATTCCTTCACCTCCACCGCATCTGTTCCCAAGATGGAGTATTCCACTCCCAGATGTCCTCTTACTTCAAGAACCGCAACATCCCCCCCTCCGTTGATCCAAAATGCCCTCGACCGCATCTCTTGCATTTCCCACACTTCTGCCCTCAAACCCCCTCCCCACAACAAAAATAAAGACAGAGTCCCCCTGGTCCACACACATATCATCCTACCAACCTCCACATCCACATCCAGCATACCATCCTCTGCCACTTCCGCCACTGCAATCTGACCTCAACACCAAAGAGATATTTCCCTCCCAACCCCTATATCCCTTTCATGGGGACCGCTTTCTCAGTGACTCCCTTGTCCGTTCCACACTCCCCACCAATCCCACCATACCCAGCACCTTTCCCTGCAACCGCAGGAGGTGCTACACCTGCCCCTAAACATCCCCTCTCACCTCCATCCGAGGGCGAAGACAAACTTTCCATATCCGACAGGGGTACATCCTCTAACCTGATCTACTGTATCTGTTGCTCCCGATGTGGCCTCCTCTACATCAGTGAGTCCAAACACATACTTAGTGACCGATTGGTGGAGCTCTATACACTGTAACCAACAACACCTTCTGGTTGCCAGCCATTTCAACTCCCCCTCCCACTCCCACTTCCACTCCCGGGGTGACATGTCCATCCTGGGCCTCCTCCAGTGCCACAGTGACACCACACGCAAACTGGAGGAGCAGCACCTCATATTCCACCTCAGGAGCCTACAGCCTGATGACCTAAACATGGAATTCGCCATTTTCAAAATCTCCCCACCCCAGCCTCATCCCATATCCAACCCGCCATCTCATCTCATCTCCTTGATCTGACACTATCTGTCCATCTTCTTCCCCACCTATCTGCCCCACTCTTACCACTGACCAATCTCCACTACCCCTACCTGCATCCAACCTATCGCCATCCCACCTACCTTCCCCCAACCCCATCCCTCCTCTCTCTATTTACTCCCCAGCTCCCCTTCCTCTCCCCAGTCCTGATGAAGGGTCCAGGCCCGAAACATTGACTTTCCTGCTCCTCTGATGCTGCCTGACCTGCTGTGTTCCTCCAGCTCCACACTGTATGGACTCTGACTCCAGCATCTGTAGTTCTTGCTACCTCCAATAGAATTACTATCACTGCATCTACATGATCAATACCCTATGTGTTATCGTTGACCGTAAACCTACCTAGACCATCCATATACATACAGTAACTACAAGAGAAGGTTAGAAACTGGGAATTCTGCAGTATGTAGCTTACCTCCTGACTTTCACTGCCTATCTACCAGGCCCAAGTCTGGAGTGTGATGGAATACAATCACCTGTTTGAATTACTGCAAGAAGCATACAATAGTATCTAAGACAAAGCTGTTTGCATGCACCCTGCCCGTCCCACACACATCCCATTCGACTGCCTTTAACATTCAACCTCTTACCCACCAGCTGTCCTGTCCAGCGACAGTGATCTGCAAGGAATGGCCAGTTATGCTATCATATCTTTAGAGACTGCAATGGGCCTACTTCCATAATGACATCATATAGATCTATCTTTCTGTGATAGTGCAAGAGAAAGCTATCACTAGCTGTTTCCTCTCAGATCATCTGTTTTACTGAGATAATGTTCACCTCAAACATCTGAGGCTTCAGGGGAGTCACTACAACCATTTGTTGCTCAATTTTATCTTCTTAGAGCACTTTATAGCAGTAGTAGGTAGGTGATACAGAGATGGACACTGTTGTATATTGATAAATTGGATTGTTTGACACCTTTGTGAATAGAGTTCTGTAACATTAGCATAAACTTAACTATATAGATCTCTACATTTGTAATGCATGTAATTCTTCATTGTCCAATTATGGTAATGGCTGTAAACCTCTACCTTACAAAGGAAATAGGCAGAAGTCTCAACATTGAGAAACTTTGGATAAGTTTGAGGAAAGACACATGTAGATTGACTTTATTTGATGTTTCAACTTTTAGTTGCTTTTCTCTGATTACTCACCATCCTATTCCACCCCTTTTTGTGCCCACACTTCGTCCTCCCTCTCGTCCGATGACTTTGTAAGCAGTAAGACTTTGTTTATTGAAATACAGCAAAATGGAATAATTATAGACACCTTTCCTGACCTGTATTTAAGAGCAATATGCAATGGTGAACTATACCAGACTGAGGTCATAAAAGTGCCTGGAAGGAAGCTGTAACTAACAGAATCAATGAAGCATTTGTAATTGCTTAATTTACAGGTGTGTTCTTCTGGTTGAAATGAGTTAGAATCATAGAATCATACAGTTTAGAAGAGGCCTTTCAGCCCCTTGAGTCTGTACCACCAAATATACACTACTGCCTACACTCGTACAACTTAGCCGCACAAAGCCCATGGTCTTGAATGTTATGACACTTCAAATGTTCATCCAAATAACATTTGTGGGGTTACCTGCCATGACTACCCTCCCAAACAGCGCATTCCAGATTCCCACCAGAGGGCACAGTTACTTTCTATCCACTCCATCCATGCCTGTCATAATCTTTATAAACTTCAATCAGGTACCCCACCTCCACTTTCTCTGCTCTAAAGAAAACAAGCTGAACCTATCCAACCTTTCTTCCTAGCTGAAATGCTCCACCTCAGGCAACGTTCTTGTGAATGCAAATGCAACCCGAAAGAACTGCTGATGCTGGAAATCAGAAACAAAAACAGAAATTGCTGGAAAATCTCAGCAGGTCTGGCAGCATCTTTGAAGAGAAGTCCGATCTCCTCTGCACCCCCTTTAGTGCAAATCACATTCTTCCTCTCGTGAGGTGACCAGAATTGCACATAGTACTTCAGCTGTGACAAAGGGGCGGCATGGTAGCTCGGTGGTTAGCAGTGCTGCCTCACAGCACCAGGGACCTGGGTTCAATTCCACCCTCTCAGGCAACTGTCTGTGTGGAGTTTGCACATTCTCCCCGAGTCTGCGTGGGTTTTCTCCGGGTCTCCGGTTTCCTCACACAGTCCAAAGATGTGCAGGCGAGATGGATTGGCCATGCTAAATTGCCTGTAGTGTTCAGGGATGTGTAGATTAGGTGGGTTATAGGGGGATGGGTCTGGGTGGGATGCTCTGAGAGTTGGTGTGGACTTGTTGGGCCGAAGGGCCCGTTTCCACACTGTAGGGATTCTATGAAAAAAAATTCTATAAAATAATCAAAGTTTTGTGCAGCTCAACATACCCTCCCTGTTCTTGTAATTTGTGCCTCAACTGATAAAGGCAAGCTAACCTGTTAACCTGTCCAAACACCTTCAGGGATCTGTGGACAAGCACCCGAAGATCCCTCTGTTGCTCTGAGCTATCTAGGGTCCTGCCTTGCAGGTTCGCACATATCCCGAGAAACCCACAGAAAGAAGTGCAGCCTTAAGAATTTTGTACTTGTTTTGTTATTTAATAAGATTACAGCTGATTTTGTACTTCAGCTCTGCAACTGTGCACAATGCCTACATCCCTTGCTTCTATTAATGTCCAAAACTCCAATGTCTGTCTTGAATGGTCTCAGTGACTAAGGATCTCCATCCCTCTGGAATAGAGTAGATTCACAACCTTTGAAGAAAGTTCTCATTATCTTAGCAGTTAATGAATTACCCATTATTTTGAAGCCTCAACACTAGCTCAAGACAGGGGAGACTTCTTCCCAAAATCTACTCTTTCAAGCTCCTTGGGAATTTTATAAGTTTCAACGAGATAATGTCTCATTTTCCTAAATGCCTTGAAATCAAATTACAATATCTCAATCTCTGCTCATATGAGGGAATGTCCGGTGCAAGTAAATCCTTCCTTTGATAAGAGACCAATAACCCCTGAAGTCATGACATGTAGATAGAAGCATCGAAATTAGGAGCACGAGTAGGCCTTCGCACCTGCTCCATCATTCATCGTGATCATAGCTGATTGTCTAATTCAGTACGCTGTTGCAGTTTTCTCCCTATTCCCTTGATCCCATTAACCCTAATAACTATATCAAACACCTTCTTGAAAACATTCAATATTTTGGCCTCAATTGCGTTCTGTGGCTGAAAATTCCACAGCCTCACCACTCTCTGCAAGACCTTTGTACCATAGGTACTGATAATTGGCTTTGTGTTTGATTCTATTACAGAGTCTAGGTTATTTGGCTCCTATCAGTATTCCCCTTAGAATGGAGACAACAAGGTGCAGGGCTGG